GTGTTTGTTACTCGAAATAAATAATTAGTTTTTTTTGTTGAATGTAAAATCTCAGTTTACAATCTTAAAATACTATTTTTCCGATATTGTTGTCCTGCGCAAGGCGCAGGTACCTGCCTAGTAGGTAGTAGATATACTAAATCTCATAATTCTCATATAATTTTCATCAAATATTTTTTTTTTTTGTCAACAATATTTTTTCTTCTTACTTTGAGTCTCATGTGAATAAACGAAAAGTAGTATACATTTTAATTTATTAAAAAAGAATTAGTAAAATCAAAAATGCGTAGCACGGGTGGCAATACTAGTATGTTCTAAATCCAAACCCAATATTTTGTAGAGTCGAATTAAACCGGACTTGGGGTTTTTGCTGTAATTGGCATGGCTAATTGGCTACTGGCCTACTGCACTATAAATTCTCACAAACATTAACGGGCCCAAATATAATAATTTAAATGCCCATGAAAAAAGTATCGCTAGGCCCTTTTGAGCACCTGCTATCTGGTCGATTGGTGTTTTTCAGTCTTTTATCTCACCCTCTCTCTCTCGAGTCGCGAAAAGCATAAGGCAAGAGAGAGAAGAAGGATCAAAGGAAGACGATTGAGATGGATCCAGACGCACTTGCCAAGGCTTTCGTGGAGCACTACTACTCCACCTTCGATTCGAATCGTGCTGGTTTGGCTTCTCTGTACCAGGAAGGATCCATGTTGACCTTCGAAGGCCAGAAGATCCAGGGCTCTACGAACATCGTCGCTAAGCTCACCAGCCTCCCTTTTCAGCAGTGCAAGCACAATATCACCACCGTCGATTGCCAGCCCTCTGGTCACGCCGGCGGTATGCTCGTCTTTGTCTCCGGCAATCTCCAGCTCGCCGGCGAACAGCACGCTCTCAAGTTTAGCCAGGTTTTGCTTATCTCATCTCCTCAGATTTATATTAGTTCCGATTTTACTTGTTTCTCGCTGCCAATCGTGTTCGATAGAGTTCTAGGTTTTTTTTTTTTGTATAGATTGATATGATATTATGTTACCGGAAGCTTGAACGATGTGGAATTGTCTCAATATATGCATTTAGTGATAGATCCGTGTGCAGTGTGGAGATAAAGAGGTTTTTCCCCAATGATTGTGTAGTGTATTTCTGGCATATTTTGATTCTATCTTGTCAATGTAGCATCGATATGGCTGGGAAAAAGGCATTTTCCATGCTGATAAACCTTTAGGGTATTTCTTCTAGGTTTTGTCAGCTATGCTTCTATATGATCTTGTAGTCACATTGGATTGTCTCAGTTTGGCGTGGATCGTGTGTAGAAGGGGGGGAGGTGTGCGTTTATCATCTTCTGTTATGACTTTTTTTTTTCAATAATAAAGAAGACTCTACTAGATATTTCCCATAGGAAACCAGATGATACACGATAGGTTTGCATCGTCAGCGTCTTAGTTCTTCTTCATTTCAAGCTACTGCTTGTGCCTTTGTTATCATTGTTTGTGAACACAAACTACTGGAATGTATCTGGTATATATGTAATGCATGGAAACAAGTGCGATGAATTCTTGTCGATTGACCTACTCATATAAAAATCTGCATATGCATCTCTCATGTTGTTAATCATGCACGGCCTTACTAAATATATATCTTGTGGATCTGCTTGGTGTTTGGATTTTGCCTCGTTCATGAAAAAAATCCTGACGCAGCTGTCTTTTGTGCAGATGTTCCATTTGATATCGAACCAGGGAACCTACTACGTGTTTAATGATATATTCAGGCTGAACTATGCCTGAGGAACGTGGTTGCAGGAGTATATGAACCATTATTATTACAAGCCAAAAGAGACTTATGGAAGTTTGGGGTTATTCAAGTTGGTTTTAGATTTGGGAACTTAAAAAGCTTGTTTGCTGTCTGTTTCGTTCTTTGTTACATTTGATTGAGATGACACCGTTTTATTTTTGGGCATTGATCCATGATCATGATTCCGTAAGTGCAACCTTTATTACGGATACAGAACTAAGGTTTATTTGAAATATGGTTCTCTGTTGGAACCCTTTTTCATATCAAAGAGTTGTGTCTTTTCCATTTTGATCGTACACTTTCTAATATTGAAAGTAACAAATAATGTTTCCAGATAGCAATTGTATCAAGAACAAAGAAAGTGATCATCATTCTTCATCATTGTCGAAGCCGAATTCTTGCAACAGCTCTGGAACTTGGATATGAACTCCACCAGTATTGTTATGGTTATTTTGGTCCTTGGAATTGGAAGTCTCTGGAAGCTGGCTTTTGATAGGACGAATCTTACCTTTGAACATCCCAGAAAGCATACCTCCGATGGATCTGATTGGGTGGCTTATTCTGTCTTTCATCATGGAAATCATAGAGTACTCAGAGACCTGCCAAGTGAGTGTGAGGATGATCAAAACCGAGAGCAGAACATGGGTCACTTTGTTCTGCCTCTTCACCTCCTTGATGTCTTTAGCAATCTCTTCCAAATCTGGAGT